TGTCTCTGTGGCTGTGTATTTCTTCACCTCTTTCTACAGCCTCAGAGGAACAAGCAAAGGGTCATTTTTACTTCACTTTTAAATCTAATGGTTTATCTATATAGGTCTCCAAATAGCTCTGGGGGATACTATCTGAAGAGAATTAAACAGAGAAAAAAAGGGAGACAAGCAGCACCAGAATATTGTAATATAAAGAATTCAGAATGGTTGATGGGACTGTTCAAAGGGATGATGAAGAGGAGGAGGAGGATGGAGAAGGAGAAGAAGAAGATGTATGCTATCAGACATTCTACCTCCTAGGTTTGCAGCCTCAGTTATAGCAAATATGTGTCTCTTCCAAATAGCCACCTGTCAAAAACCCTGGATTCAGAAAGGAAATTTCATTGCCAACTGTCATAAATGTAGCTTACCTATTATTATTCTCTCAGCCTTTGTTCAGTGATTGTGCATTTTACACACCCACAAAAGAGAAGCAATTTAGATGGCCTATTGTGCATAAAATAATCCACCTGCTGGCAAAAAGGAACATTTTTTAATTCAGGGTAATTTCCTCTCCCCCATCCCACACATGGAGATATTGTATTTGTTCCACGAAAGGAAAGATGATAGATTGTGTGTGTGTGTGTGTGTGTGTGTGAACCACACTAATTCAGTGGTTCATTAGCAGTCTAGAAAAAAAAAAAAAAAACAAAGATACCAGCCAATACCTGGGCATTCCACTGAAATGATGAACAAATCTTTTTTGAAAATCACTCTTAAATGTAATATTGACATGGCATATCTCATGGGTTGTATAATACTGTTCAGTGTTATATTTTCATAGCACAAATCTCACCAAAACCTAGAACCCAAGACCATTAGATGAAATTGAATGGTGGGAGATTTCAGGCAGGCAAGAGGAAATATTTTTAAACAGAGTGCCTAATTAAACTATGGACTTCTCTGCCACATGTTGTTACAGTGGCCACCAACTTCAATGATTCTGAAAAGAATTAGACACATCCGTGGGGACCAACAATAGTTATGAGTGGTGATGGTCATACCCAGACCCCAGTATCCAAGGCAGGAAGCCTTTCAACACATGGTGGGGAAATGTATTGAAGCTCCTTCTGGGCTTCCCATTGGGCCATCTGCTTGGTCACTATGGTAACAGAATGCTGGGCTGGATGGGCTTTTGGTGTGATCTAACAGGACTCTTCAATGTTCATACGACGACAAAGTAAGGAATGTTACTCTGTTTATAGGCGCACTCCAGGCTTCCTTTGCCAGAAGAAGCACACCCACATATGAATCGGATCTCATTTTCTGTCCATTTGAACCAAACAACAGGCAAAGGGTAAAGGCAGCAGTGGCGTGAATGAGCAAGACCACTGAAGCTGGATCTGAGTTTAAAGCAGGGATAGGGAATATATATGTCTTCAAATGTTGTCGGACTGTAAGTATCCTCATCCTTCACCCTTGGCTATGTTGGCTGCAGCTGATGGAACTTGCATCCAGGAAGACCTGCAGTGCTGCATTTTGTCCTCTCCTAGTTTAAGTCTGGCAAAATGAGCAGCTGTCCACTGCAGGCACTGAAAACCTTAGACCTTCTGAGAAGCAGGAACTGGCAGGAAGGCTGGCATTGAAAAAGATACCACAAGCCCTTGGTACTTTAATGATCTCTCTCCAATCAGGATTAATTTCGCATTCACCAGGTAGCAGAGACCTTTCACTGCAGAATCCTTTGATGCCCGTGTCAGAGAGACAGCTCCTTGGCCGTGGGCCATGCATCGTCTCAAGAGACGCTCTACTCCAGAATATAGTATGATAAAAGACTCCAGTCAGATAAATGAAGACTTTTCTGTTCAAGTGCCTTATCCGGAGATTTGCTGATGTATATGAAAGCTTTGGTTTGCTGTTTGTAGGTATCGGTTAGAAAACCTTCCTTCTTCTGTGGTTTGTTTAGACTCCAGTCAAGATGAGGATGAGGATAAGGATGATGATACCCTCCCCGTTTCCCTCTTGCAAAGAACCCCGAAAGGTAGGTCAGGCTGAGAGTCATTGCCTCCCTGGCATCACTCAGCGCACATCATGGTTGAGCGGGGGGTCTCCCAAGTCCTGGCCCAAAATTCTAACACTGCAAAGGACCCCGCAGATGCACACGTGGAAATGTCAGGGAGGCTTTATGAAAAGAAAAGTGTGTCTCCTGACATATGACCGTTTAGTTCCTTCAGTGCTTGTCACAGTCATCACAGTATAGTCAACATCTGTGAGGAAGGTCTGATCATGGGATGCAACCCCTGGCCATAGTGATGTGTTTTGTAATATATCTGGCCTCATTTATGAGACTGGCTTGAAGGAAAGGGGCACCTTCTCGAAAGTCACTACAGGCTTGTGGCACAACAGTGTTGGAAAGTATTGGGCAGAATTATTTACTTATGGATTTTCTGTACCACTTTTCTGAAAAATATCAAGGTGGCACAGATTTTTTTAAATCCCAGCAATCAGATGATAACAGAACCATAATACAACCTTCAAAACCATGAATACATTTTAAAAAAATCAAATTTAAAAGTGTGTTTTCATCCCTTTCCTGAACACAGAGAGAACAACTCCAGAGAGCCCATTCCAGAGTTTGGGAGTGATAGAGGCAAAAGTGCTTTCCCCTGGCCAGGAACCAATTCAAGGTTATTTCAGCTTTTTCATCCTGAAGGCTGAATTTCATTATGCAGCTACTCTTGGAGGCCATCTTTCTGCAGTGGTCAGGGGCCAAGGTGAAAAGGGTGGAGCCAAAAATACAAAAACTACCAGTATATTTTAGCTTGAAGCTTTAATTTCCAGAAACCAAGCTGTAAGAGAGGCTTTCACCCTTCTAGATGAGGGGAAAACTGCACAAAAACACTGAAGGATTGGTGACTGGGGGAAAGGAAGTGGACCAGAGGAAGGGAATGTGGCTGTCCAGGGGACACTGGCAGGCTGTGTTTGACCTTTGGGTTGTACACTCCATGCTAAGGTATTATTCTCTGCAATCAGACAGAACAAAGGCATGGAACTCCCAGCTGTAGGCATGATCCCTCCAACCCACCTGAGCAACCCTGGTGGAAGATCAGGTCTGTTATGATCCCTCTTTCCTTGCCTTTGGAAGAGAAAATTATTCCAAGCATGCCGAGAGTTCTTTTTAAAACTTTATTGCAATGAAGGGGACAGAAAAAATGGTTTCCTTCCCATTCTTCTGTTCACCTGAGCACATGCTTGCCTCCCCCTTTTGAACCCTGCTCCTGGTTGCTTCTTCCCTCCTCCTTTCCCCTGATTGGCTGGGGTACCAGGAGTTTACACTCTTTCCGCCCGCCTACTCCACGCTGCCCCAACACCGGCCCTTCCCAATCCAGCCCTGTCCCCAATGGGCTACAATAGGCTCATTTTGTTCTGCCCAGCTTGTCAATAAACAATCAGGAAGTATTTGTTCCTCCTGCCTACGTGCCTGTTTCCCCACACCTTGTGCCATCTGATCTTAGCCCCTCCTCTCCTTTGGGCTAAGTTGTTACCTTTTACCTTACCTTGTTACCTTTTAAAATTTTTCTACTCCCTTGTTTCAAATCATCCTTTCACATCGATCAGGTCCAAGAAAGGCTTTCTGCAAGAGGAAAGGTCCTTCTTCAAGGAGGGCTCTGCTTCTGCAAGTTCTCTCTAGCTGATTTTTTGGGAATCTCCCAGTCCACTACATTCATCAGGGCCTCCTGACTTCCTGTTTTGCATTTCAGGGGACGGAGGTACAGCCATGGGGAGGAAGGCATGGAGAAGCCTGCATCTTCCCACACAGTCAGCAGAAATCTGGAGCCAGCCCGTCACAGAGATTCCTCCAGAAGTGAAACATATGGCTGTGGAGAAATCATTGTGCCTCACCGACTTATCAGTGGACTGGGTACCATGGACAGTAACATGCTGTTGTCATGACATTTTCCCTCCATTTGGAAATTCTTGTCTGCCCTCTCATGCTAACTCTAAATAGTTTCTATGGCAGTTGAAGCTTCCCAATTAACACATATATAGGAAAACATCCAAGGAACAAAACATTTTGTACTCCAGTGTAAATAAAAGGCTGACAGCTTGTTAGCAAATTTCCCCCACCTGCAAGAACAACACATGGATTGTTTTCTCTTCTGAGGGAAGAGTCAAATTGCCGAATACGAACCAGCTTGATGCAACAATGCTTGAGCTCTATTAACTACCCTGGTTGTAAGGGAGGCGGTGGACTGGAAGTGGGGGATGTTTTGCCAGCACAGAAGATGCAAGCAGAGATGTGCCCTCTTGCCTTCCCAAATAACATCCAAATATTACATGCTTATCATAACACTGCTAATTTCTGTGCTGACATGTTTTCGACACCCTATTATAAATGCCTTGTCAAAAACAATTATTTCCATTTAAGGCTTTCTGGGAAAGGCGGACGACAGTTTGGCTGATTGGCAATCTCCCACCCACCTCCTCTTGAGGGGCCCTCATGTCTGCAGTCCAATTGCCTCACAGAGGGGGGTGACTGAAAATTGTAGAAACCTCTTGCTAAGCTCCGATCTAGGATCATGCCCGTGTTTTCAAGCCAGACATTTGTATAGCATGCTTGCAAC